AGACTAATAACATGAGAACAGTTTTGACATTTGCAATTGTGAACAGATGGAACAAAACTATTCTTCACGAAACGAATACAATTGATACCAGTAGCAAAATTAAGAGCGTATATAAATATTATAAGCTTGGTGAAATAATGTAACCTGCTATCAGCTTGAGCATGATATAGACAATGCTATGCAAACGAAATATGCGCTTTGCTATACACATTGAAACAAGCTGTAATTTGTTAAAATCTATTCAAAACAAACATTAAAAATTTGAAAATGCCGAAGTGAGTAAATTTTTAATAAATTTCTTTAATAATAGTTTGGTACATATTAATAACTAAAATATGATAAATTTTTAAAAGTATTTATTAAATTTATCAAATACGCGAAACCAAATACAACAAGAGAAACGTCAAAATTAATCTCCAATGTATAATGTAAACGGTGTAGATTAAAAATGCAGATTAACTTTACCTCGTTCAAAAGTGTTCAACATATTTTAAAAGTGCTGCCAATTTCGTTCAACCAGAGTTAATAGATCTTTTCGCTGGCTCGCAAATATGGTGCAATGCTGGCCTATATTCGTTACGGGAGACATTGGCCATCTGTCAAGTATTATGTTTTGGCAAATAGTAAAATACAAGCAAATTACATTTTGTATAAAAATAAATAATTGATATAAACTGAAAATTAAAATGAATACAGAATTTTCAAATTTATGAGATTTTTAAATTTTTGTTTACATATGATTTTTGGCATGTCATTGCAATATTTGTTGGAATTTACAATGAAGGTTCACAATAGTTCACTTATTGCGTTGGTAACGTTTTTTTTTACTGGCCGATGTGTTCGACCAGTATACCAAGGTAGTGCCAGTATAGGCCAGCAGCTTGCTGTTTGCCGTACTTGTGAGCTAGCAAAAAGGCCTAATGTTATTTTTTTCTTGCTCTGAATGAAATAATTACGGCTAATATATGCACTCATGCCCTTTTATTTACCAATTAAATATTTTAGCAAGATTTTGACGTGGTAAATTAAAAATGTGAAGCATTCTAATTGTTATCTCCTGATGTTAGCTTTCAGGAACGCAAAATTGGTGAAAACTAATAAAAACTTGTTGCAGTTTTATATTATAAGTATCGAAATAAAAATTAATGCAAAATAATACTATTTTTTGCATATGAGAAAATATTTTTTAAAAATACTTTGTATTCTTGAGAATAGGTTTATTTAGAACTCAGGTGGCAGCATTGCTGTGGACAGCTGGACAATACTTTTTAATGCGGATTTGCTTACTATACGTGATATATGAGTCTTTTATATCTATAAAAATTAAGTCATTTCTTTTAAATTTTTTTACTCTTCTATATTAATAAACTGTTAATTTGAGAAAATGGTAAGTGTAGAATAATTGCATTTCATATCTAACTAAAACTATATGTATATATTTACATGTCAACACAACTGGTTACTGCATATGGGCATTTTTCCAAATATATATGTATACACAATTTTCCAATTCTAGATGCTCTTCATGTTATTGTTTAGCCGACAAGGCAAATTAAGATTGCAGAAATGGTATGGTGCATATGCTGATAAAACGAAGAAAAAAATAACACGTGAATTGGTTACTACGATACTGGCCCGAAAGCCTAAAATGTGCTCATTTTTGGAGTGGAAAGATTGCAAAATTGTTTATAAACGGTAAATTCAATAAAATAGAAAATAGTTAAAATCACTTATTCAAATATTTAAATTTCAATAGTTATGCTAGTTTATATTTCTGTTGTGCGATTGAACAAAATGACAACGAATTATTAACGTTAGAAATTATACATCGTTACGTGGAATTGTTGGATAAATATTTTGGAAGCGTGAGTTGTATATTATATGTTAATGTATATTAATTTTTTTTAATGTAATGATTTACACTATTACTATTTTATCAACAATTGTTCTGAACTTTAATGTGGAATGTCTTAAAATAATTTATTTTCATAATTTAGGTTTGCGAATTGGACATTATTTTCAATTTTGAAAAAGCTTATTTTATATTAGATGAATTGTTAATCGGAGGTGAAATACAAGAAACTTCGAAGAAAAATGTTTTAAAAGCAATCGCTTCACAGGATTTATTACAAGAGGTCAGTACAGCTGAACAGTATGATTTGTAAAATACGTGTGTTTCCAAATGTAATGAAAACGCGTAAATATATTTGGTGTTTATTATTTTAATCACAGTTTAGTTTCGAAAAAGTAACCAAATAACAGAAAAATTCATATATATATATATGTATAGATATATATATATATATGTTTTATATATTATACATATGGATGTGTATTGTTTTTATTTATTTATGATTGATTGTAACGCGTATGCTGCATATTTTGTTAAATTGTTTTAAATATTAACTTTTATTTAATTTTATTTATTTTTTAATTATGCATACAAACGAATTAATTTCTACTACCACAAAACGACACAATTCAACTACTTTTATTTAACGCTACATACTACATACTACGACTACAACTACCAATACTAAAATTTGTCTAATGTTAACAGAAGGAAGAGTACTTTTATACTCTACAATAATTTGAACGTTTTATTTTTGTTTTATAATTGGTTAAGTGTAATTTTTTTATATGTAAAAATGCATGTATCCAGCGAAGCAGTGGTAACAATTTAGTTTATATTTAGGTTAATTCATGTTGCAATCAATCTTGCCACTAAAAATTTTACAGTATTCGACTTGCCATAAAAAACAAGCGCTGTTAAATTTATTTTGCTGTTATTGTATAATTTTTTAAATACGTAAACTCAAAGAATCTGTTAGCATTTGTAAGAACGCTTCTTGTTCACTTTGTATGTCTTATGTATAACCAGCGTCCGTCCTATGTAATTGTAATGTGTTTTCTTTTAACATTTTGTTGCTACTGCATTATTCCTATATGGTTAATTAGTTATTTATTATACTGTGCAATATAATTTTTTAGGGTATTTTTAAGTTTTGCATGATAATTTTTTGGAAACATTTAATTTGTATTATTTGCATGTAAAGCTAGTCTTATTGTATAGTACATATTTTTATTTTGATTCTAATCCTATATGTTTTATAATAATTATAACATTGTATAACCCTTTTCTTATATTAATGCTTACCCCACCCGTTTTGCAACGTTAACGCATCTACAAAAGGATTTTAATGAGTATCTAAATTAATTAGAATTTATTACTTAAATGATTGTTTATATTATATTTGTATTAATAGGCGTTCTTAGGTATTTATTTAAAACAGATACATTAACTAAAACAAAAATTATATATAAAATTATTAATTACTGTATATTTAAATATTTTTTTATAAATTAAATGACGTTTGTGTACATAATATAATATATATTGCTCAATTATGCAATAGCAGTAAGAGACTATGGTATTCATTTAATTTATACATACTTTATAAATAACTGAATGCAATAAAATTGTTTTATAAAATAATAGTAACTTTTTATATTTAGTTTAATAAGAGGTTAACTCTTTCTACTTTGAAATAAGAGTACATCCTATGGTCGATTTCATTAAGAAAGGTCACTGAGAGCAACAACAAATTGTATACTAAAAATATAGCTAAAACCAATGCTATTATGTATTTTGTTGTTTATTTCTGTTAATCCCTTTCTAAAGAAATCCACTATACTAACAGATGGATATTGTAGTTATGCTTATATGAGGTGTATTACGCTTCAGGTCGACTTATGCAGTTTTACTTAAATTAATACTAAATAGGTGAAGTTATACAAAATTTAATAAAACAGTTGAAATGATCTATGGTCTACACTGTTATTGCTTCCTATATTTCAATAATGATATTATTATTTAATAACATATATATTTGAAAAATTTCTCACTGACAAAAGATAAGAAAACAAAATAAATTCAACCTAACATATAAGTCACCATTTGTTTGTTTTGTTTGTATGTGAATTAGTACAATTTATTTATAACATATCTATATTATAGCTATATATATAATATGTTCATATTATTTGGCTTACAAAAATGTACAGCGCAGTCGTGAGCTTAGAAGCTGTATGTATGTAGCCTGATTCTTAAATCGATGTGACGCTTTAAAATAAAAGATATTTTATTTTGTTGTATATTTCAGAACATGTAAAATTCTTTGTAAAAATTAATTTATATCACATATTTCATTTAAACATGAACATTTAACTGAAGCATTTGTTTATTGTTTCATTTTGTTTCGTTGTGTATTTTTAAACTTTAACTGTCCAATGTTCTTCAATTGAGTTCTTCAAAGTTTTCTTTATGCACCCGCACAGCAGACATAACATTTATATTACTAACTTTCATATTTCTTACTAATATTAAAAAAAAAAAAGTAAAAAAATTTTTTTTTAAATTAAACAACTTTTTTAGCACAGCACTCACTTTGTTTTTTTGTACTCTAGGATGAAGCTGTTGAGGGCACTTTAAGAGATATTGGACTACTCTGAAAATTTCTTTTAATTGTGCTAAAAAGTATTCAGTAGAACACAAACTTCTATTCTCACACAAACACACAAATTGAACACTCGATGAAATGTGCGTTAAATATTAGTTAATATTTTTTTCAAAATTTTTATTTTTATTTAATTTTGATTTATTGGATATTCATTTGTTCATTTATATTTTATATTTCTTTAAATTAAGTTAACACAAACGTTTTCTATTCTTATATATATATATGTCAAATATTACTGCAATATTAATACCAATACATCTGCAATCTGCCACAATTTGTTACTAACAAAATTAAATTTACTATAATTAAAATTAATTCTTTCAAGTTAAAACTTATAAAAGTATTCAGTTGGAAAATGGAAATGGTATTAGGCACCGACTTATAATTCAGTTATAATTCCCAACCAATAACAATGGCAATTAAATGCATATATATTCTCTAAATTATAGACCAACAATAGTGCCCATTAAATTAAAGTTCTTAAGTATCATTATTTATTTAATAATGAATAAATTTTATTAAATTCTATTGTGTATTGTGTCCTGCTTTCTTCCTTAGAGCAATTGATTTTCAAAGAGTATGCTTAGGTATATCGCATAATTAAATAATTAAAATTATAGTATATTTCTGTAATTTAAGTGCATATATTCTCTTGTATACTTTTATATACTTATATACAAAGTTCTGGAACAAGTGATATAATTAAATCTTTAATTGTTTAAGTTTTAAACAATTTTTTAAATAATTGTTTGTAGATATATGCTCATTATTGTATTATTGTATAATTTCCTTCAACTTCCAAATTCAGATATATTTGTCTTGCCAATTATTATATAAAATGTCACTCATACGTCCTCAAGTCCAAGGCAATTATTCTTTATTGAATTTTATATATTATTTTCTATTTGCAGTACTTGTGGTACTGCATTATTTCTGTTTTTCTAGGGTCTTAACTTAACTTTAACAAATTTAAGTTAATATTAATTGATAATGATGCTTAAAAAATAATTTAAATTAGAGAATTGTGACAAGCTTTTAATGATTACGAAAAATAATTATAAATCTGTGTTTTGTTGAAATATTTATTAGAAATTGAAATACATATTATTATTATTATAAATTTAAATCATCCATAAATGGTCCAAGCTACCAATTTTTCCAAACTCCTAAATATTATATCTTTCCTTAATATTAAATATTTATTATGTTTATGTGTTATATATCTGATAATAAAAACAAATTATATTTTGTTGTACATAATGTATTGATCAACGCATCGACTTATTGTTTCATTTAAATTAAGTTTTTCTGCTTTGTAACGGTAAATGGCTTACAAACTGCAACTATGTTTTTAGCAAGTTTTGGTTAAATGTGTAAATTTCTTCTTACCTCTTCCGTCTTCCATCTGCAGTCTTTCAAGATCTTTCTTCTCTATATTAATGATATATTATGTCAAGAAATTTTCATGCAAAATTTATGTTACCCTATAGGCCAATACTAAATACCTATTGATTCCTTTATAAATTCTTGTCAATGCTGTCAATTTCATACTTTAATATGAAAAGTGTATAAGTTTATTCGATAATTTATTTTTTATATATATTTTTATTATCATATGATTTTGTTAAATATTTTTTTATTCTTCCTAAACACTATATAGTTTACACAAGTAAAACTGAAACTTCTCAATCATTCCTCCTGCAAACAATACTTTCTATAGCACACAAATTATGTAAAGCAATACAATTTTTATATATTATATACCGAAATTTACGAGTTATGAATAATTTGTCATGTACGAGATTGCAATATAAATTAAGCTTTAAAATTATAAATAATATAATATATATAAATATATTTAATTCTACACTTCTAGTATTAATAATTGTTTTTTATGTAAAATTTTCAAAATAAAAAAAAGAAAAAAATAAATAAATAAAAATAATAAAGTGAATGTTACAATTGAAAAGCCAACAAAATTATACTTTTATTTCTTGCTTTACTTGGAAGTCTTTAAAGATAATTGTGGGTAAAAAACTGTCCTTTACGCATCCCCAAAATATTATTTTTTTATATACCATAAATGATATGTCTTTATTTTTATTTTTATTTTTTGTTTTTCGTGAAGTGTCTTAATTGAAAGTGTTAAAGTGTTCTCTCCACTTTTCTACACTCTGCTTTTTCGGTGTTATTTTCAAGTATTTTGCAACCATTTCATTTGATCCAATAATATCGAAATGATTTAATGAATTAATGGTTTTGCTGTGATCTGTTCTTAGTTTACCAGATTTGCTTTTGTATAATTTGTTAAGAATAATCCAAAACTTTGTACTGTACTTAAACTTCTCTGCTCTCTATTTCTCTTTTAATACTCTATATTTCTCTTATTTGTTGTTTTTTATTTGGTCAACGTTTTTCACACACTGCTTATGCAAACTATACTTAATAAACTGCAACTTCTCGTTGTTACTGGTGTGGTGCACTGGAGCTTTTATGTGTCCTTTGTCTAAGGTATGTACTATTGGAGAATCTGACTTAATTAATCTGTAAATTAGTTGTTTGTAGTTTAATGTTTGTAATTTTATATAAGTTGTTTAATAAGAAATTCGTAATTAGTTTACGGTTGTGGTTTTTTTTTGAAGTAATTAATAAAAAATAAACAATTTAAAAATACTTAATTTACACTAATGTGGCTACATAGTACTTGATACTTTATGGATATCGTAATGCTTTAAACTATTAAAGAAAACAAGTAGATTTTTTTAATTTTTTCTTAATAGTTTTTTTTGAAACAATTTTTCAGTAACAATATTTGTAATAAATTTATTTACAGGATGAAACTCCACAAGGTTTCTTCGAGGACCATGGTCTTGGATAGATGAATACAAATCGAATATCACTGCCTAGTGATTAAAATAATACATAATAAAACATAATGATTTATTCATTGCTGTTGTCCTTATTATTAATATATATGTATACAAAATCAAATATTACCTATAAGAAGTAGTTTATCTTTTAAACGTTTATCAGTTTATTAGATTTAAAAATATCAGCATTTCTATAGATATGTATTTATATATGAACTTTGAAAATAAAAGACAATTGTTTAAAGTTAAAACGTTAAAAGATTGACAAATGCTAGAATTAAATGATTTTATTTTTCATCATACATTTATTTGAATTATAACACTTTTAAAGTACTTTTATATTATTCGAGAAATTTACATTTTCCATAAATATATATTATAGATATTTTCAAAGTCTTGTTTCATTTTTTTATAGTTTTTTTTTTTAAATCATTATATTCTTGTGTTTCTTATTAATCATATTAATTTGTTTAAATACTTTTCGAAAAATTTTTACCCTGGATAACTGAGTTGAGTGGGCCCTAAAAAAGTATACATACCATATGATTGTTTTTAATGTGGTATATCAATATTATTCTGATATTATAACGATTATAATCACCTTGCCATATTTCCAGACATGCCAAAATGTTGGAACAGTAAGAAATATAATACTCGGTTATTGTGTAATCTTAATTCTGATCTTTATTAAAAAATTCTAAACTAATTATATTAATATAGTATTTCATTTTAAACAATAGGAAATCATTAAAATTTTTCCAATGGCAAAAAGAGATGGTAGGGTTCATTATACTAGATAGTACGGTACAGAACAACTGCCTCGATGGCAATATTTCTGTTTCGCGGAAGTCTGCTTATCTATTATTTATTATTACATACAGTATGTTACTATGAAAAGAAAATAACTTCGAGTGAAAGCTAAATATGTTATGTTGGATTTAGGTAATAATACGATATCAAGTTTTTTTACATATATAAGTGAATTCTTGAAAACATCGAAAATGTATTTTTAATAGCTGTTATTTTTTCTTCTAAAAATAAAACGGTTTTAATCGTCACGCATTTAGAATTTGTGGCACAAATATATTGACCCATTATTTAAAGTCATTTGTATAATTATTAAATGATGCACCATATCGAAAATTGCTTACTACGAAAATGCAAATACTTACTTCATTATCTAAAGTCCGATTTTAGCGATTTCGATACAGTGGTATCTTATCATATTAATATCGTAGAAGTTAAATGTAGTATTTTGTTATATTTCTTAAAATTTCAATTTTTATTATACTTTAGTTAAGTATATCGCATTATCCATTTAAATGAGTTTTGCACATATAAACTCATGTAGTCCAGAACGCAATATCGTTATTCTTGTAGGTACAGTTATTGCCTTTTTTTGTACATAATTTTTGAATTTCTATTGTTACTTTTTGTTCTGTTAAGCTGTTCAATTCAACTGACTCTCAACTATTGAATCCTTACAAATAAAATACTATGTAATAAAATGATAAGAACAAATTATAGATATAATACCTACAAGATTTGCGATGGTTATAATATTGTTATACAAATCTCCTGTAAAAATATTTTTAATGTAAAAAAAATTAAGATCTCTTAACATTTGATTTAGAACAGAGATCAGCAATTCGATCTTTCAGTTGTTATGGTTGAGCTTGTTTTGTAAAAAAACACTGTGGATATACAGTAAAAATCTTTATACTTTTATACTATTCTATTCTTAACTTCTTCTTAACTTTTTTAGAATTTGTAGTGAATTGTTGTTGTAACAATAATTACATCGAAAAAACCTTGTTGATCTAATATGAATAATTAAATGTACGCTTATTTCTCGCTGTGTGTTTTCATAATACACAGATCCATGCGCATCAAAAATGTCTGTGTATATTTTTGCCGACCTCTGGTTTAGAATCACACAGTTGTGTAATATTATTATATTAATTTTGTAATAATTTATTATTATTGAAAAGAGATATATAAAGCAATAATGAAACAATTAAGTAGTAATACATTTCTTATGATAACAATTTCTCTGCTCACATAGGCTAGGATATTATCTGTTACGGAGTAATGTAGTAGTCGTTACACAAATATTGTGTGTGATACAGTAATTTTTTTTTATAGAATTAATGGCATATTTTGATAATATGAGAACTTTTTGAAATAGTCAGGCAGATCTAAAAATGTTTTAATTATTAACATAATTTTGTTGCACATATCGTTTCGCACTAGTTTCAATGATATGAAGTCTCATCATTGGGAGGCTCACAGACATAAGGCACATGCAACAAAAGTATAACGAAAAAAGCTTCAACGAAAGGAAAGGAATTTTTTGTTCGAAAATCGTTCGCTCTTTCCGAATTTCAACACGATTCTCCCCAATGGGCAGATGCGAAATATACTTAAGTTTTCAACAGACGAATTCTGCTCAACAGAACGCTCTCGTTCGTTCGCAACAACACACAAAATTCACACATAAAATATTTTTCTGCTGAATTTTTAACTAAAAATTAAGTAAAAAATAAACTAATTAATAACTTACTGAACAAAAATACGTTCACAAGTTGAAATAACATTAAATAGTGTATTAATACAATATTATAACGTGTTCGTTAATTAAGTAAAATCATAAATATGTGAAAACAAATGGAAAAAAGTGTGAAAATTGTGAACGAAGGAAGGAAAATTTTGTGCATGAAAAATTTTCGATATCTATATCAATGTGAAAAATTCTCATTTCCATGTACATAATATAGAAAAGAAGCAGATAAGATGAAAATTTTTGTGTGAAAATTGTGTGATTCGCGAATTAAAAAAATAGTACGTAAAAAAATTATTAATTTTTCACGCAAAACGACGTTAAAATATTTAAAAATGCCGATTAAAAATTAAATGTGAATTGCTTAATATTATTGGATATGTAATAAATAGAATAAAATGTAGGTATAATGTAGGTTTGTGTAAGTGTGAAGTGATAAACTTGTGAAAAAATTACTTATATCCGTACTTATATATCAACATATAAAATTAATTAAAAATATTTTTTTTTTAAGACAAAAATAAAAATATAGTAATTATAGGAAATCAAAATTAAAAAAAAAGAAGAAGAAAAGAAAAAATTGCTTAGGCTTTTTGAACATTTATATGGGAAAGTATTGAAATTTGCAACGGGAGCAGAAATGGTTGTAGTCAAAAATTTTTTCTCTATCTATTGCGATTTACGAGTACGAATGTGGTTAGTTTTTGTAATTGTTTTTGTTGTAATCGCTCTCAGTGGAGAGTAGCAGTGTTAGTGTTCTCTTTTATGTTAAAAAAGGATTTCACTTTCTTTTTGAAATAGCTTCCACAATAGCGATACATATATTTTTATAATATTATATTAAAAATAATTTTCATTGTTCTTCCTTTAATTATTAATACTCGTAATTGAAACATACATATATCACAAATACTGGAGACGATACAGCTTCACACAAACCACAGTTTGTTGCAATTTATATTTTTATTTCAAATTATATACTTACATTATGTATACTATAGATATAATTTATATATTTGAAACACATGAACATAAATACTCATGTATCAATATCAAACTATCAATTAGTAGAACCCATGCAAAATTATTTCCTTTTCATTACGTATTTTTAAATCGTATATCCTTAAATAAATACTTGAAATACATATTTGCATATGTAGTATAGGCATGAGTATTTGTGTTCTTAAAAAAACAAAGAAAAAAACAAAAACAAAAACAATAGTAATAACAACAAAAAAGCACACACACTTGCTCATATCCTAACTATGGGAATTATTAGCATTGCCAAGTGCTATGTGCCTTTTGGCTAATACGTATTCATACTACTTTTTAAACAACGAAGCTTTAACTCTGTTTTGCAAAAGTCAAATGACATTTTTCTCTATTGTGAGATGACGTCCTATAATAAATAGGATGCAACGAATTATAAAAGAAAGGATATTAATAAGAAAGGAACACCTAAACCAATGACTCTCGATGGAGTGTGAAATAGTTTTATGCAATTAATATTTATTATATATGTTATTATAGGAGTACTTATAAAATAATTATTTAAATTTTTCTTCTTATTTGTAAATCTATATTCATTTCGTCCTTTTTCACTGTGTTTTCAGTGATAAGTTTTTATTTTGTGAAAGAAGAATGAAGTTAGAAAATTTATCTTTTAAATCTAATGGTTTAGAAAAAATACGTATAAACCTCAACAACCTCTGCTCACTTCTTTGTGGATGAGAAAATTTTCATATGAAAGTAGAAAAAATAAAAATAATAGCAATGGTTCAGACTCTTTTCAAGTTTTCGTAAGATATTTTATTTTACTTCTATATATTACGTACTAAAATATTTATTTGAAACATTTATATATGTTATACTTTAATGGCTTTTAAGTTATTAACTTTGTTTGGTATTAAATATTTTATATATATTAAGCATCTTCCATTGACGGTTGGGTGTAAACTCGTTACTATTTACTTCATTTTTTGTTTTTTCTGTGAAATAGTAAGAGTCAATATTGATTTAAGATTTAAGTGAAATTTGCATCTCAGGATAGTTCCATTCAAATATACAATTATAATTTCATTAGATAGAAAACTTCACCATAAGGAAATACATAATCCTCGAGTATTATTGTGCATTCTGTGCATAAAATAATGTAAACTTTCAATAAAGAATTATAAATACTCTAAAAGAACATTATTATAAAATAAGGATATATACTTATATAGATATTTTAGCATTTGTAAACACATTCAACAAGAATTCAATGCATATACTCGCTGATAATATGCTTCTCTCTTCGAATTTTATAGTTAAACCTAAGTAAAAAACACAAAGTTCTGTATTTGTATATATATCTGTATATCTACATGTACATATATAGACATATGTATTCAGATAAATTATATTCCCAACAAAAAACTTCCCATATATAATAAGTTTTCGATAAATCTAAACGGGAAGTTTGTAAAGTGTTCTTTCTCTTTAGCCTGTGTACATTGCTCTCAGTGCGTGAAAGTATGGTGAAAAAATAAATGCGCAATGCTGTAAAAAATCGCACGTAAACTATTTTAAATAAAATATAATGAATTTTCTTAAATAAAATTCAAAATTACTCTATTAAACTTAAAGACCATAAATAAGTTCACACAACAAATAAGTTAAATACACAAAATATAAAAATATATTAATGAAATGCTATCTCATTCTATTAATCT